AATAATAGTGTGCAGTTCTTATAGACTAAGTATGATTATGTTGTTCTTAAGGATTTCAATTTGAAAAGAATAACGCTTGTTTTAAATATACTTAGAGACATTAAGAACGAGTTAAAGCTATATAGTTGATCAAGTCGTAAGAATGAACGAAGTAGAGCGATGTGTAAGAAGTAAGATCACGCGAATACACAAGTTATCAGGATGCAGTGAAATGTGTTGGTCAAGTGTCTGGTGAAAATTCCATAATGTAGCTTTTAACCTAGACCAGATAGTGAACATGCATAAGGCAGCTGCTAGAAATAAAATAATACTTCTATGGTAATACGATTTTTATGTGAATGTGATGATTTAAGTGTAGCGTTTAAGCTGAACAGTTGGTTCATGTCTTATGAGGGAAGAACTTATTGGAAGATATCTCAATCCATTTGCCATACCAGCTGAATCGGAGATTCGTCAATTGCTTACTGCATTGACAGCGAAACATAAAAAAAAGAAAACGGGCATAATAGTTTCGTTATCTTCAAAATGGGGATTGGAATCATATATAACAAATAATTGGTTTCAATATTTTGTGAAGCTAACGGCACAGTAAAGCCCAAAGATGTAGTGTTGAAGTTGAAGCAGATGAATGATGCATTACAAGATCATTTCCCTAGTGATTTTCAAATTAGAATGCTCAGTATGGTACTACCATAGCGTGATCCTTAAAGATTTCATAATTTCATATTTTCATTATCCTTGATTTTTTTTTTAGTTTTAGAAGTTGTGCCGAGCTTCATTCATCGAAATAACCCAAAGTCACCGATTTCCGGAATGACCCCTGTTGACCATCCTAGGCTCAGTTTTAAAAGATGCTGAAATAGCTCATGTGGCACGTGTTAAAGAAAGCTTATGAGAAAGCTAAATCTGTTGACAAGTTAGTAATAATAATAATAATAATAAAATACAATAAATATTACAAAAGGAAAAGTAATAGTAAAATTATTTGGCAAGTCTAAATGAAAAAAGAAATGAAATGTAGACAAAGCATTGTTAACAGACATTCAAAGAACATTCGTATTTATAACACTGTTGTGTTTTCTTAATATTAATCAATTTAATATTTTTTGCAATATTATACCAAAATTACGAAATAATTCATCAGTAAGTCAAAATTATTTTTTAGCTCAAACAGTGTGTGATATTTCATGTCCACAGCTAAAGAAAAGAATTTAGTATTACTCACATCACTGTTAAACTGAATATACATTCAGCTTAGCTCATAATTCACCACATCTTATTTTATTTAGTGTAACTTAATGATAAAACTCACGTGATTTACGGCCCAAACTGGATATTAATTCATTTCTACAGAATATGAATAAAATGATTTAATGTCAGTAATTCCAAGTTGCTATATTTAGGTGTGTGTGTGAGAGAGAGATATAAGTCACAGTTTGAGGCAAGGGAAAAGTTTGGGTTTCTTTTTGTATCAAAAGTTTTTAGATAGGTTCCACGTCGATTTTTGATGTTACATCAACTCAAGACACTTACACTGTAGTTATTATTTATTAACTAGACTTTTTAAGGAAAACAGTTGATAAAGTGACTTAATATACAAATCAGGTCATTCCTAATATTACACACATTAACCAGCAGATTAAATGGAATTGGAAAGCATGTTATCTGGATGACAGCGTGTGGAAAAGAACCGGAAACAGCAGTGACACCTGATGACACTCGTTCTGAGCTGAATTATGTGATATGAGCTCTGGGAACGAGAGTGATTAGATGAAGGGTGAAGAGGGTATATTTATTAATTGATGTTGTTCTCATTTACCGCTTTAAATAATAAATATTTATTTACAATTAAAAAGAAGTCGTGAAAAGCTTCAGCTAAATAGATACAGATTGAATTCATTGCTTCACACCTCTAGCACTAGTATTATTATATTTTGTAAAACTCGCGAGAGATAAAGTATGAGTCCGCTGGCCGTGGTCGCTAGGTGCTTGCATAGCTAACGTTTAGTCCAGCTTTCGCTACTGTACCTGGTGTGTATACTTTTTGTAGCTGCTTCCCTTAGCGACGAATAATGGCAAAATACGAGCCCAAACAATTTTGATAAACGAACTTTGTAAAAGTGTTCATACCACTACGAAAATAATACTTGTACCACTTTTTATTTATTACTGTACAAAAATTAGGGGGTACAAAACAATTTGAAATCTTCTGGAAAAATTCACTTCCCTATTGAATCAAAATACACCAAACTAGTAAATAAAACCTGTAGACTTATTCTAGAGATGCATAATGTTCAGGATAAAGCAAAAAAATTATCATTTCTAATGATAAAGAAGAGTGGCAAACATGCATATTTTATATACATGACCAAAATGCGTAACAAGAAAAAGACTACAATATTTTTGTTTTTTCTCTTCTTTTTTGCTGCAAAATTACAGTAATGTTTGATCAATCCCCGTTGGGACAGCGGTAACTTTAAGAAATTACAGCGCTACAATCCTGAGTTAGACTCCCCACAGTGGACAGAGCGCGGATAGCTAATTTATACCTTTATGATTAAAAAAAAACAACAACAACCAAATTATTTGATCGTCATTATGTTTGTTACAAATATCGGAACAAATAAGAAACAATACATTTAGGTTTAAAGAATTATTATCAAGTGAACTGTATATGTAAATAATAGAAATATTAATGTTAAAATACCTTTATTGACTTTAAAAGATCATAATAAGAATATAATGACTTATAATTATGTAATTGGATGTAAGAATTCAAAAGAAATCCGTACTCATAATCCACATGAAGTGTTACCAGTCAACGTTATTTTCAAAGAAGCGTTTCAACAGTATACTAAATAGTGAAGATTATGAAGTGATTTGTTTAGAGATGATGGGATTCTCTGTTTGTTGTTACTGTGATGATAGGATTCTCTGTTTATCGTTACTGTAATGTTTGTTTGTTTTGAATTTCGCGCAAAGCTACACGAGGGCTATCTGCGCTAGCCGTCCCTAATTTAGCAGTATAAGACTAGACGGAAGGCAGCTAGTCATCACCACCCACCGCTAACTCTTTTACCAACGAATAGTGCGATTGACCGTCACATTATAACGCCCTCACGGCT